GGATTCACTTGCAGATATAATTATGTCTGCTCAATGCTAGAGAGAATGTTTACAGCTCTTGGGTTTGAACTGCCCTATTAATTTCTATGTGTTAATGCTGAATCTCAAGCTACCTGAATGCAGAAGATGCTGGGAATTGTCCTCCCCACTCTGTCCTAATATTATTGGAGGCTGTGGGCTGTGTCACCCCTCCTCTAAGATGGATTTCAGCATACGTAGGGTGAAGACACATTGACCTGAAAACTGAGAGACACGGAGTTTCCTCAGCTGGGAGTTCTGTGGTACTTGAGTACCCTTATAGAGCCCATAATCTGTCCTCTTATATTTCTAAATTGACAACACCATGGGAATTCTGTGAACTAAAAAAAGAAGGTAGTCTAAATTTATATTCCCATAGGCCATAATTAAGAATGAAATTCATCTTTCTGCTAAACTGGTTTTGCTCCCCATTTGACATCCACTGGTTTAGAGTGAGGTGTGTCTCACTAATTGGTTGCATCAATGGCAAAGATGAGGAAGGAAGCAAAACCCAAGCTAACAAGCTTTGCTGAGTTTTTCTTGGGCTCTGCACTGGTACTGCTGGAGTTCGTAGTGAAGAGTGAAGGAAGCAGATGGGGGGACTTGGGCGGTGAGGAGGAGAAGGCAATAGTGCTCAGCTGAAAACGGTATCATATAAGGACTTTTCAGCTGACAGGAATGTCAGTGTGTGAAACTATTTGCATGGGTATGTGACTGGTAGAAGCTGTGGCATCAGATCTGTTGCCTGAGTAATATTCTCTGAAATAGGTTTCTTTCTGGGCATTTTCTCACTCTAATCACCACGTCACGTGCAGCACAGCACTACAGAGAGCCTTTCTTTGCTCTAAATACATGATTTATGGGTGCTGAAGTAGGAGATTGGAGCAGTGAGCCACTTGCTTATTATGTGAGACTCAGTCAGACTGATACATGCACTGTAGGGTTTGGAACACGGAAGACCTTAATATGTCAAAATGATGCAGCCTGCATATTGGATCTGTTGCAACTTCTATGTTGCTGGATCCAGTAGTGGTCTCTTTTATCATCAGTAGTTTGGGAGGAGATGTCTTGTTTCTTTCTAGTTCTGCCTTGTTTCCAATTCATGCCTTCTGTTGTCATCTTTCCTGTTTGACTACTGTAGGCAATCTGTGCAAGAACGGCATGGTAGGTATACACTGTGTGTGCATTATTCCAGCTACCAGTGTCTGAGGTGCTGGTGATTGTCACCCCAGTAGAGGTTTACAATATGGGAAGTGCAGAGAGGGTCATGTGTCATGAAAGGTGTCTAGATTACAGCAACAGAAACTAAGTTATGACAGCAATAGCAAGGGATGAAATTGTGTCCCCTGTTACCCAGTGAATTGGGCTTCATGATTGCAGTCTGTTATGAAATTAAAAAGACGGGAATCAGTGACATGCAGTGGTAAATGATGCAGGTGTAATGCAGTGAAAGGAAGCTTCTTTTTTGGAGAACAGAGAAATTTGTCAGGTTTTAAATTTAGTTGATTTTAAGGAGTGAAACTAATTTAGAAATTTAATATATAAACAGAACAAAGGTGAATGGATTGGTGAATAACTAGTGTGAGTAGTAGAAAATAATTGTAGTGGACTGCATAGTTGCAGTAATGTATTTTAATGGTATAATAAGATATTAAAATTATGGATTGAATTCTAGCCTCCTCAAGGTCAATTTATTTGTTTGAATTGGCTGTCATTTAATGCTATTTAACACAGTATTGCCTCGTTTATTTTTTGTAAGCAGCTTTTCAGCATTCCAAGAAAAGTGTAAATAATATACATGTAGACCAAACAAGATTTTTCTAAATCTTGTTCTACTTTTACTCCAGCATTCTTTCCCAATATAAGTAGTTGTTTTCTTTCTATAACACCACTTGCTGTTGTGGATCAGTATTAGTATTCATCAACGTTTATTTGTATTACCTTGTGGTTCTTTGGAAAACTTACGTAATGAAGTGAAATGATGAAGCTGGATCTCTGTTTAAAACTGTGTTTTAATGATGAAACATTAAGCGGTGAAAATAGTGCTGAAAGTTGTTTAAGCCAACAGCTGGATATCCTCAGAGGCAGGGATACATTGTTTTTTTCCTTAAGATTTGTGGACAGATATTTATGGTTGTACCATTTATAGCCTACATACAGTGAGTCCAACATGTCCTAAATGCTTTGGGTGTGTAGTATGTGTGCAGATCAGTTCTCCAGTACGTGCAGAGTCAGTCTCGCATGTCCAGCAGCCATTTCTATGGCATTCCTGCATGCCTACCGCCAGGCTGCAACAGTGTCCAAGTGTCTGAAAATCAGAGAGAGACTAACATCCTCCAGTTCTGCCTGGACAAAATTTCCAGGCAGAAAAACAGAAGAAATCTAGAAAAACTCAAATTGCAGAACAAAGTTTAAAAAAAAAAAAAAACAAACCACCAAATAAAAAACCCCACACAAACAAACGAAAAACCAAACCAACAAAAAAACCCCCAACTGAATGATGCTATTTGTCTGTGTACTGGATTAAAGTGGAGTCCAAAACAAGCCTCGCAGCTAGAGGGATAAAGATGAAGTAATGTGTACAAATACAGCAGCACAGTTCACTAATTGCAGTGTTCTCAAATTTTTGAGTGTTTGACTTTGTAAGCAAAGTGTTTTTGAGGTAGTTAAAATGTGTTTAATGACCACTACCATGGCTAGATCTCTTCTTGAGGCTTGTCCCTGTTGGCTTGTGACCACTCTGTGTCCCCAGCACTGTGACTCACCCGGGAGGTGGCAGACAAACACCACTCCGGCTCGGCTGGAAGCAGAGTGAGGGGACAAGCAGCACCTACCTGGCAGCCGCCCAACAGAGAAAATGGCATGGCAGTAACTTCGGGTCTTTTTATGTCTAGATTACAGGACTTTTTCCTGCCACATTACTATTTGACATCAGAAGTGGCTTTCTATGAATCCTGCTATGAGTCACAGCTTGCAACGATGAATCATTTTTAAAGTATTTTAACTTTACCTTATTTTAGGAAAAAGTCATGTGCATCCGGGTTTTAAGGGTATTAATACTCAAAGGTAATAATAAGGGCAGAAAGTAGAAGCATATGGAGGGAAAACAGAGGCATCAAAGGATGATTGGAAATCAAAGAGGGAACTTGCCAGTATTTAGCATAGCAGTCACCATCCAACAAATAAAAAGGAGAACAAAGTGAGGTGGGGCAGAACATAGTTATTTGTAATTGGTGTTGCACACTTTTGCATACCAGTATTCAGCCTCAATTGTTTTCTAGTGTATGCTTACTCTGGTTGTAAATACATAGACAAAGCCTTTTAAAAATGTAGTGTTATTTCTCACTTAGGATCGGTGATACAAAATTTAGTGTTAATTGTGATTATCTGATATAATACTGGAGTGCTTTCAAAAATGTTAGTGATTAACAGCAAATAAAAATTGACTATCTAAGCATAGTGTTGCTTGCACTCAAATGCCTTTTACTTAGCTGAATAATCCAATCATCATAAGATGAGGGTGTAAAAGTAAGTTTATAAGACATTAGATGCTACTCATTTTCATAATATATTGGAATACATAAACACAGAACATCACAGGTTTCCACCTCAGGCTGTTTTGGGTAGAACTCTTTTGTTTTCTTAAATACAAGTTGTCCACAAACTAGGAAGTTCACCCTGCTGACATAAATCTTACCTATTCGAGCACTGTGTTTGTGCAGCTTAGAGAAACAGGAAAGGTGGAACTGGCCAACCAGTCCACCTGTAATGGGGGTGGGGAGGTTGCTGTGTGACTATAGTATTGATGTTTTACTTGAAAGCTCAGCTCCAGGAAACAAGGGTTTACATAAGAATCAATCAATCTTTCTTTCTTCTAAGTTAGTTTCCTTCTATTACGAAACAAAGCTTGTTTGTGTGATCCAAGTACATCGCAAACTCTCAGAAACCTAGAAGCAATGTGAAAGAAAACAAAGTTTAGGGTTGTTTTAATCTCCTTATTTTAGGCAAGCTTGACTTACAAATCCTGGAAATGCCAGTACTCTCCTGGTGCTGGAATAGCAATCACCCCCTCCTTCCACATTCGTGGTGTACAGCTTGATCCACAAAATATTCCTTGCCTCAGTTCACCTTCAAAACCTATTGTGACTGTCCTGTGTGTCCCACCTTAAGTTACATTTCTGTCTCTAATGCAGCTATTGTCAGAGTTTATGGTTATCAAAGTTTATTTTGAAGAAATAAGTAACGTTTCTGACCTCTGTGCAAATCTCCTATACTGGTGATGTTACCTAGTCCAGACTTAGGCGTGCATGCTGCACTTGGAATAACAGCTCCCTTTGAGTTTATCCCTGTGTAAATTTACCTTGGTAGACTGCGTGCTCTTTGAATTAAGGATTATGTTTTCATATTTATCTATAAAGCATCTGGGTACCATGGTGATCAGATCAGACAAGCAGAGAGTTAAATTGACAATGCCAGGGTCCTTTTCCAAAAGAAGTTGGGCTTCATGTTAACAGAGCTGTGTTCTCTAGTAAAAACAGTGATTCCAAGTGTTAGTGTATGCTATTTTTTTAGTAAATTAATAGGGACACAAAGCTAAGGAGGTGCTTTTACACTCTCTTTATTAGCTCAGCTTGTAGTTAGCAGTGAAGTTACTGCATTTGAACCTCAGTCATGATACCTCAGCTCAACCACCACGTTATAGTAGAATTTGCTTTGTTTTTATATTTCTGAAATAGCATAACACTGCACTTTGAAGTCTCAGTTAAAGGAAATGTCTCAGCCTAAATATAAGAAAAAATATCCTTCAGTTCAACAGTCTGAAAAGTATTGCCTCTTTAGACAGCTCTAATTACATATTGATTGTACTTAAATCTTACATTACAGTTCATTTCACATTACATTCATGCATTTGTTATTTTTTTCCTGTGTAATTTTGACAGTTTTTAAATAATAATACATGGACAAGCATTTACTCTGGAACAGTCATTTTGTTTTATTAGAATACAGAGGGCAATGAGGCAGAAAAGGTAATGTCATGCTTATATATTAGCTCTTGTTCCAAGTAGTAACTTTCCACAGACCGTCTGGGGACAATTCCTGGGGAAAATTCCTCCCTGATTATGGTACACATTATCACATCCTGTTTGTGAGTTGCTATTGCTGTACAGTGAAGCAGTTAAAACCCTCAATGGTGAACTACAAGACAGGCCATGAAGCAGTTCTTATCATATATTGCTATAATTTTAGTTATATATGTGTGTGTATATATATGTAAAATTACCCAAAATGTAATGATCCTGCAGTGATTTAACGCAAAAATGAGTGCGTCATGGATTTTTATTATATTTGTTTGCTCCTTGACCAGAAGTGATCTGCCTTTATTTCTCATAATTCAGTCTTTCTGTTGCCACTCTTCTTGCGGTAGTTTGTCCTGGTTTTGTTCCTTGAAGCAACAGAACAAGAGCTTCTGTGTATCAGAAGTACGCATCCATTCCACTATATGAAAAACAGAATTTCAATGCAAATTTGATTGAAAATGAATGAGTCCCACAACTTTCCATTTTATTTATGTAATTCATTAGAAATTATACGCACAGAAGGATGTATGTATCCCAGCACAGTTTGGGAATGCCATCCGCGCAGACATGACAGTAGGTTTGGGAATATTGTCAATGCTAATTACCTTGTAAATCCAAGTGCCCGTTGCAACAACTGAAGCTTTCTCAGTTACAAACATACTGCTAGCAGATCTGAAACAATTTAGCAGTAATTGTTTTCACAGAATGGTAGTAACATGCCTTTGGGGGATTGTTTGGATGCTAAAAGTAACAGGGGACCTTCTTACAAAGCTGTATGCATATAAAAAGCTCTGGACCTACTGTGGGTTAAATATCAAAATGTGCTTTCTGCAGTATGTGCTCGTGTTCCTGAGTGAAACATAGCCTATGTAAGAATCACTGGTCTGTCAGAACAGAGCCAGTTTAGTCCATGGATCTGTGTCAACGCAGTCTGATGAAGTTGCTGCTAATGCTTTTGTAGACTTCAGCTCTAAAACAGCTTCTGAAACTCCCATTGCTATCTCCTTGCAGATATGTTGCATGCCTAAAGAGCAACAGGTCTCTATGCTAGTAATTAGGGAGAACAGAATCCATTTCTATGTTGTGTAACAGACTACCCCTACATTAACTTTGTTACTACTAAGAAATTAATTTCAGGGCCCTCCTTTATCCCGTGATCCCCGAGATGAACAGAGAAATTATCCCTTAATTTTTTTGGGGTACAAGCAAGAAATAACGTACTATGCTGTGGTCCTGTATGTCTCAGAATACAGAGCCAGGCAGCTCTATTTGTCTACGTGCTGGTGAGATCGAGGGCATGGCAGCAGCATGGAAACTATCAACAATGGCATGGTGTTATGGAGGGATATACAAGTCTTGTTGAAAAGCATGTGATAACTTGCTTCTTGGTTCACATACTGAAGACAAATGTTTAGGGAGTATGATAAGCTAACTGATGACAGTTTGCATATGTGATAGACTGAAGGATGGCACGTAATAGTGTCTCGTAAGCTATTTGCTTATCAAAGGATGTAATTGTATTTAGAAAAGCTGAAAGACAGCAGGTTTGGCTGGTTGCGTAGAGTACTTAAAAGACTTAATGCATTGTGTATGTTATCTAGCTCAATGTGCTTTTTTCAGCTGTATCTTTGTCCTCCCACTTTGCTTTTTGTTTCTTCCTTTGCTGTATGACTCATTTTTATAATATGCTTTTGTTACAATTACCTGCTGGTTTTCATAATGAATCCTGTTCCTTCCTTTTGCTACTCTCCTTTTCAGGTTTGCTTTGAGAATTCGTATGTTTATAAATCCATGATCTTTTTTGCATTTTCCTTGCAGAAGCTGGCTCTCTGTGCTAGTTACCAGTGTTAAAGAACTGTGCCTAAACTACTTACCAAATCATTACATATCTTTTATTTTCCGAACATATTCAAGTCTGTAGGGGAAAACACTGCTGTATGCACCAGAAAAGTGAGAACGCTGTGAGAAATGTAAGTTAATGCCAAGAGGTAATGAAGAAAAATGCACAATCATGATAAATTTTGAAACCATATTTACTCATCTTTGCAAAGCCCTCAGAAGAATACTGTGGATTAAAAACTGTTAAGGCTTGTTTTATCCCTCTCCTTTGTACTTAAAAGTTAGAGTATCTGTCGCTAATACTCAAACAGAAGCACTGCTATCTGAGAGAACTAACTAGTTAGATTAAATACATTTTAAATGTCTATAAAGCTTTTTAAAATGCCTGTATCTACATGCATATATAAAATTGAGGAAACAACTGCAGTTTCTCTTTCCCAGCTGTATTTCATTCATTCTGATTTTTATGTTTAACTCATATTTAAAAAGGAGGACATATTGCACGACAGTAACAACATAAAGGCATTTATGAAACCCAGATATAAGGTGTCTGGGTGAACAGGCAATTTCAGTCCTGGATCTGGAAATACAGTTTTTTTTGTTTTTTGTTTTTTTTTTTCTAAATCTGTTTAAAATATTTCATAAAGTTAAAATACATTTTAGTTCAGGCAGGCCTTAGGAGCTATTTGGGCTGATGTTGTTGTTTCTGTATACTCAGGGCATTGCTTATATGTTTTTCTGATATTTTGGTTACTTGACTTAGGGTTCTAGAAAACAAATTGAACTGTTACCAAATGTGGTACGTAAGTTGCATACATCTAAGGTGATATAGCATGTTGCCTCAGAGCCATCTGACAGAGCTTTCTGGTAGCATTGCCATCTATTTCAGTAAAACATCTGAGTGACAGTGAACAACAAATGACTGAGAAATTCCAGTAACGTAAGAAAGAGGAGTGAAACACAAGCAACTGTTCTGAGAGAAACTATTTTACCTTTTATTTTTGTGAATTCAGAAAAAATATTATTCCTAATGATTATCTGAATATATAGGATTCAATTAAAGTAGTTTCTTTTGTATTTTGGAAAGATTTTGAGTCAATACATTTTCCTATTATATTCTGAGAATAAAAAGGTAAGGGAATACTTTAGGCACTGTTAAAAATGATAAAAATCAGAGAAAGGTTTGTGTTACTTTTCTGTGATCAGGACTGGTAAATAACTATAGAATATCCTTTATAGGAGTTGCCCAGATTTTTTACTGGGGGTAAAGAGGAGATCTTATTAGTTGGCCTTCTGCGTAGTTCTTTTTAGGGACTAATGCAGTTTGTTTCTATTAAAAAAAGGGCACATACTGAAAAAATTTCCTGAAATAATGTTTAGAATGCAGTGTCAAAGTGTGTAAGAATTAAACCTGCCATAGGCTAAAGCAGATACCAAGAGCTCGAGAGAGGGTAGAGTAAGGAAAGAGTAATAGCCCTTCTTTGCTTTCTCTTTATCCAATTTTGTAAATAAAAAAATGTAAGATGCGAAGCTAAAATCTTCAATGTGTCAAAGCCTGTCTCTCTGTAAGGAGGAGATTCCCTCCTTCAAACCATAGGCACTCTTGAAACAGCACTGAAATTTACAGTCAAATCCATCTCTAAAGAGCAATGAATGCTTAAAATTGGAGTGTAATTTGAAAAATACTATAAAAAACCCCAGCCAGACCTGGGGTCACCGTTACTAAAGGAAGAAAAAGTCCAAACATGCCATCTGGAGAGTTTGTGCTTTCCACATGGCTATCATTTCATATTGAATGTTGGATCCTTATTTCTTCTCCTTAGATTGTCCTTGTCTTTGGATTAAATTCTGATCCTAGAGAACTTAATTGTAAAGCTCACAAAGATCTTACTAGTGGACTGCTTTAAAGAATCACTTGTAATTTGCAGAGCTTTGGCTGCAAAATGGGGTTATAGTATATTTGAGGTAACCATCTTGTTCTGAGTGCAATGCTATTTTCTGCACATCAGATCTGTCAGATCCTGTAGACTGTTGCATTTGTCCTCTAATTGCAAGAAGAATGTCTTTTGTCCCTAACAATTACTATAAAAATGTGAAGAGGTACTGTAGTTGTTCCAGAGCAAGTTGTATTTTTGACACCTATTGACCCTTCAAATCCTTTTAGGAACTGGCTATCTTTGAAAAAAATCACAAAATCATTGTTGAATTGGCTCTCTGGCCTGCATCCTCTGCCTGTTTCCTGACCAGAAAAGCAAAAAGGTTTTGTTTTGGTTTGGTTTTTTAAAAAAAAAAAGGCATTCAGTCCAGGCTGGTGTGGCACCTCTAGGCTGTTTGAGTAGGGGGAGAAGTAAACAGCTTTTATAAACAAGGTTCCAATTACAAAGAGCAAAAAGGTAAAACTAGCAGAAGACATATTAGCTTGTTTACTTGCTTACTTCTTAAACTTTCTCTACCAGCTTTTGCGAATCCTGTCACATCCATCTCTGCTATTCATAAAGCATCTGTCCTGCTTTTTTCACTGCTGTTTTTGCTACCAGTGGTATGCTTGCAGCTCACCAGTTCTTATGTACTATAGGCTAGCTCCATTAGCAAGTCAGCATATGAAATCCAGAATGTGGTTTGGGAACTGTAAAACTTCACTAGTCTAGTGGATACTGAGCTAGGATATTTTCCTTGCAGGATCTTCCCTATTCTCTCTAAAAGCTCATAAGACTTTCTTTTCTTTTTTCTTTTTTTATTTTTTTTTTCCTTTATTTAATTTTTTCTGTCTTTTCTTCCTTACAGAACATTTGATTTAACAAAAAAAAAAAAGTAGAAGATATTTAGGAAAAAACTCCAAACCCAATACATGTACTCTGGTCATTTCTCTGGTATAATTTGTGCCAATAACTGTGTCACATTGCTCTGTACAGCACTGGGATTTGCACATGTGTCATGGGTGGCAGAGTCTACTTCATATTCTCTTTGTAAATGTCAAGGCAAGAAGTAAACAGCCTCCTCCCAGACACTACTGAAGTAGCTTTAGGACTACAGAGTACGTGCCATGGTGCTCATTAAATTGTGCCCTGGTTTCCTCCAGTATCCTGGTGTGGAGTTGTTACTGAGGCAACACAAGGACTACTGTGCAACTCCTGTAAAAACAAGTCACTGGGGTGTGTCAGGCGTCTACATACACCGTGGCTCTGGATTTAAAATTGCCTTTTTTTTTTTTTTTAAAGTTAAGCAACTGAGAAAAGCAAATGGGGATGGAAATAGTAATGTAAAAAGAATGCTTAAACGGTTTTTAAATATTTGGATTTTATGTTACTTTTCTATGCCCTGCTTTGGGTAGGAGAGAATAGAAATGCTGCTCACCAGCTGACCTGAGCCTGCATGAAGCTGATGGGTGGGTGGCTTTACCAAATGGCAGTCTTCTCACCTGTCAAGTCTGATACTGAAGGTTGAGCAGAATCATTCCCACGTTGGACTGGGAAGAGTAATTTCTCTATTTTATATGGAGAAACTTCTCCATGGAGCACAAGTGTTTTGTCTGTGCTAGCTGCACAAAGGTGTGGAGCGACTCAATGAAGGATACAACTGTCTTGTTCTAAACAAGCGTGGTTGTGATAGTTGAAGTGGTCTGCTGAAGTCACAGCTTTTACATTTGGCTAGAAATAGTTAGGAAGCAGAAACCTCTTCAGTTAGCCCCAAATGAAAGAACAGACCCTAGAGACAGGCAGCAGACACAGTTCTCTCATATTAAGTCATAAGTTGCATATAGTTGTTTGTCTAACCTTTTTGGCTTTTTGTGTCTGTACAGCAGATGTTAATGCACCTGAAAATAGAAAGTCTGAAGCTTATATATTCATCCTTGTTTCATATTTTAAAGGATGTGTGTATATTTATGTATGTATGTGTAAAAATATGTATACAAATATATATGACAGGCCCCTTTAATGGTAATCCCTGACCCATTCATTTGCATCATGCACAGCTGACTACTATTTATCTGCTCTGTTCCCCAGACCCCATTTTGTATGTTAACATCCATGTTGCTCTTGCTGGTAGGATGGGCAGAGACCATAACTGGAATTACAAGGCACTGACAGGCTTCCTGCATACGCCATCTCTCGGAAAAAAACTATTTGCTCCTGTCCTTCTTTGAAGCAGGGTACGTGTAGATACTGTTCTATGGTGGCTTCCATTTGAAAGTCCTCTTGAAAATCCTTCTGAAAGTATAAAACGCAGGCAAGCCTTGCAAGTTGTTGCCTGATACAGGTATACCTCCAGGTGTATTTTCTGCTCAAATCCTGTGTTCTAGTGCATCTTTATTTATAGTGGCTAAATGTTCTGATAATGGCAACCTCAGACAGGTAATGCGAGATCTTCATGTAGTGGTGCTTGTTGGGTTAGCTAATTTCAAAATTACTTGTTTTGGCAAACTACTGTATGTTGCTTAACACTTGTTCCACAGGTGTTACAAATGGATCCCAGAAATGAAAGGTTCCTTTGAAATGCACCCAGGTTTTTGTTAGTAGGATTTGGAGGAGTTTTGGAGTAGCTTAATTTGCTGTGGTGATGAAGTATGAAGGCATGTATGAATTTAAGACCAGCCTGAAAGACCTGGGAGGAAGCATATTTCAGTGAGTGCTTTGGCTGTGGTGTAAATACCTGTTAGGAAAGGGCTCCATCCCAGACCACTTTTTCATCTGCTGCTGGGTTTCCTCAGCAGCTTAGTCAGTCAATCATTTCAGACTGTAGCCAGACGATAAGATGGCATATAGGCACTCTGAATGCAAGATCAAGATTAAAAAATGGAAGAAAAATAAAGCTTGAAGCACAGAAGTGCTAGAAAGAGGAGAAATCACTCTAAAGACTCTGAATTACTGATGGTCCTAAGCTTGATTAGGCTAAAAATTCTCTTTGTGATCATAAATGTATGTTTAAAATACTGAAACCAGAAGAGTGTCAGGATACTAACACATGTGGGAGCATCTTTGTATCTAAAAAGGTTAGGCAGAAACAAAATGTATTCTACTTAAAACACATGCAGAAAGGAAAAAAATGGGTACAAATGAGGGCTTCATCTTAGTGGGGTGTCCAAGACAAGCCTCCCTATCTACTGAATGATTTCTGTATGGGCTGCTACATCCATTGACCTCCATGCACAGGTTTTATTGTACCAGCATGTAGATACAAGAGAAAGATTAGCTCTGAAAAACAAGTTTTAAAATAATTGCTTTAGAGCAATTTTGAAAGATTTTTTTTCTTCTATTCAACCATGAAATGGAAGTGTCCTGCTGATGGCTCCAGCATATTTTTTAATTGAATAATTAACATGGATAATAGGCATTCAGCAGTGGTTTTTTTGGTAATCACTGAATTTACTAATCTCCCAGAAGGTGGGATGATTCAGAATCTTTTAATGCCCCAAAATAGAAGATAATTAAAACCCTACATACACAACTTGAGATAGAATTGAGTACAAATGCTGAAGAGGAAAAATTAGAAAATGAGCTTGAGGGAAAAAATGAAATGCTGAAGAGGAAAAATTAGAAAATGAGCTTGAGGGAAAAACGGGGGGGGGAGGAAAAAATAATAGGCATTCAGCAGTGGTTTTTTTGGTAATCACTGAATTTACTAATCTCCCAGAAGTGGGATGATTTCAGAATCTTTTAATGCCCCAAAATAGAAGATAATTAAAACCCTACATACACAACTTGAGATAGAATTGAGTACAAATGCTGAAGAGGAAAAATTAGAAAATGAGCTTGAGGGAAAAACGGGGGGGGGAGGAAAAAGGAAAATAATAGTCGTAAGTACTAATAATAGTAAGGATGCTTATGAAATTACATTTTAAGTATTTGAAGTTTTCCTTACTCTGCCACACTTTGCAAGTGACCAAGACTGCTTTCAGAAAAATCCCGTCTGTCTGTGCTAGTTTCTTAGCAGGGCTTTGCTGCTTGCTGTGTGGTTGGTGGGCTTGGCTGGACTGAGAGCAGAGCACTCACAAAAGCCATGTGGCCACTATGTGATGGCTCTCGGGAGAGATTCAGAGTGGTTGCACATGTGTTCATATAGAGTGGGTGCTATACTAGTCAGCTGCTGAAAATTATACATGTAGTAACTATCTGGTGAGCTGTGTCATGGTGAGAGGAAACCGTAAGGGTTTTTGTGGGGAGGGTTAGCTCATGTAATCAATGATACTTCATTCCCGAAGAAAGTCTAATGAGCAAATACATATCCTGGGCGTACTGCATCATACATCTATTTATAGTGACTGGGAGTTATAGGCTCCAGAGCCACACTAACATGCAAAGTTGCACAGCTTAGGTTAGTCTTTTGTGTAGTACCTTTCGTTGCAGTAATGCAGTTCTGGATGTAGACCACTACTTAAGTTCTGTGTATTACTCACTATGTATCACTTACGGTCACGTGACAGCAGGGGGGCTGCTGCTTGCCATTGGAATTAATTTTCACAGTAATGAAGAACTAACACAAAGCTAACCATTTTCTCTCCCAAGTGCAAGAGGTGTTCTTTTAACATTAACTTTTCCTCCTCTGGAGGGGGTGGAAAAAGAAACTGCAGGTGATAAATGTTAGTCCTATCATTTACTTGACTAGATGAAGACAGTCATGCTGAGGTGACTGGGCATAGGATGGAACCCAAACAGAATAGGAAGTGAGTTACTAATCTTATTTCCAGTGTCCATAAAACAAGGCTATTAATTAGCCTGTATATTTACAGAGGTATAGTGGACACTTGAGACTTCAGTATTCACTTCAAAGAACTAGTGATCAAGTTCACATTGGCACAAGCAGGGCAGGCCTGGATTTCTCTACACTGTGCTTCTCTGCCAAATTCTGTCTACTAAAATACATGAGTGTGTGTTTGAAACATTATTTGCAGGCTTTGAAAAAAAGATGCTGTACAAAGGCAAACATTTGCCAATTTGGAGCCGCCCTTTGGTTTGTGGCAAACATCTGTCATGAAATTGGGAATCTCTTACAGTCTAAAATGTTGACAGATGGGTCCAAGAGAGATACAGTACAACAGTGGGCAGGGTGTTCCCACCACCTTAATTAATTTAATTAATTTAACCTTACATTGCTCTGACTCTTCTCAGACTGTGATGCCTTCCAAGTAAAGACTGAACATAGACCAATTGTTGCTCACCCAAGGAACGATGAAGGCCAAAGTACCTTACTGCCACTGAATGATTCCAGATTAGATAAGACAATGGCTTTCATTAAATAATCCTGATACAATAAAAGGATACTTACATTATTATGCAATGCAGCAAAGCAGTATGCATGGGAGCTGTTTTGGACATATGTCCACGTCACTGTATCATGATAGCTTGGCAGCCTCTCTGTGAGTTTTCTCAGGACCTGAATAGCAGAAACATTGCAAGTCGGTAATGCTGTACCTTGGCAGAACTTTGAGGAAAAGTTAGGCTGTGTCTTTCGGGATCGTGCTTGCCTCTAGCAAGTAGTATTGTTTTCTGTCTTCTATCAGTACTCTTCTGCAGACAAATCAACAACAAAGTAAAGCAGAATTAGCTTAACAGAAAGAAAAATGGATTTGGAATGCTGCTTTCAATGAGAAGCCAGACTCTGCCTGGCTTTTGTGCATCAGGTGGTATAAGAGCTACCAGGAGCATCGTGTACCCTTCACACAACAAGTAGGCAAGAAAAAGTGTATTAATTTCTCCTGCTATGTGTGTATACCTGGGGATGAATGTTGCTAGAAAGGGGATGGGTAAGAGGACCAAATGACTCTATCCTCCATTTAAATCTCTACAAGACATAGAAGGGAAAGGCTGCAATGCTTTCTGATCAAAAGTGGCAAGTCTTAGGAGTCTCTTCGAAGTTTCACAGCAGCTGGTTTGTTTTTTTTCCTAAATCTTGCTGTTCTTGAAAAATACATTATAAGTTTAGTTTAATTGGGTTTTTTGAGCAACTGCTTTAGAAAAGAGAACAAAGAAGTGAACTTGAAAAACACAAAGACTGGAATTTAAAATAACCCACTATTTATTATTATTTTGAGATCTTTTGGCTATCTGGCTAACTGCTTTAGTTTCTAGCTCTATATCATGGTAGCTTTCACACACCTTCTCATACCAGCTATCTCTGGGAGTGAGTGTCTTCATAAAAGCACTACTTTTCCCCCAAAGCTCCATGGAGTAGTATAGTATTTTACCACTGCAATGCCATTTTTTTTTGATATTTTTTTTTTTTAGCAACAATTAGCATCATGTTTATTAAATACTTAATGAAGGTCTGGTTCTGCAAACTCTTAATTCCCAGTGTAATCATCTGGGATTCTTAGGCAGTGATTATTCATGTGACTAAAAATTGTTTATGTAAATACATTCTTACAGGAATAAAATGATATACCTTGAATATTGTAAGTTATTTGATATATAGGGATTTCTGAATTAAAACTAGGCTTTGTTAATAGAATACAGATATTATCACTGACTGAGCCTTCCTACAATCTGTCTTTTGTAAATTTTCTCCCCTCCTGACTTTTCCTTCTTTCAAAAGTCATAATCCTGGAATAGATGGTTTTGAACATGAATTTTAAATTTCAGGTTTGTATAAACTAAGTGGTAGAGCCATATCACTAGCTCTGAATTCACTTTAGGTTGCTTTGTGCTCCAAAAATTCATTCATTTGGTGCTTTGAAATACAAGTGTGATCAGAGAACACACTGTAAATGTTAATAAATCTGTATTACAGCAACATTAAGATGAATTATGAAACAAAAATGTACAATTCAATACATTCAGTTTTAAAATAGAGAATGGATGGTGCCTGTATTACTTCACATAATCAAAAGAATAGTTGTTGGTTAATAATTTAAAGTTGCATTCTGTGTGTACAAACCTGTGGAAATAATTGTGTTCTATCTGATTTCAAAGATACTTTTAATATACTTAAGAGTATTGTTTGTCCACATGCTGATAGAATTATTGGAAATTCAAATCTCTGGTGCTCCAGAGTTTACTTTTTGTTGTAGTCACAGGACATTTTTTTATGGATGACAATCTTTGCATTTTTTTAGCTAGGTATTAGTATCTTGAGCAGCCTGGGATTTAAGAAAATATTTTGGTTTCGTGTACATTTAATCTGTTTTCATTGTCATAAGCCTGCATGTCACTTGCACGGCATATTATAGGATTGACTAATTGAATGACACTGAATTATGATCTGCTATCTGAGCTGGCTTCATTACTCCAGTGCCTTGCTACTTTAGCATGCAAAAATTTTGAATTACGGTTGCATTAAAAGGTAATGCTATCCTCTCATTTCTATATGCCAAACATGATGCTTAATTGCTTGAGAGAGAAAACTCTCTGTGTGCATCCCAAGTATGAGCACGCCCCAGGCTGCAAGAAAGGGAAAGGAAGTCATGCCTTGAATTGTCTCATCTTCCAGCTCTGTTGGCAGTGAAAGAAGTAAGGTGGTGGGAAGTTTCTTCTTCTCTCGTCCTGTGATTGGAGAAAAATATAGGTTAGCCTTTAAACTTCTGTGGGAAGTAGGATACTAAGCAGCATTTCCCTGTGCTTTGTTAAACTGTCCCTGATTTGAAAGAGAAGGGGGGAAAAACCCCATCTCTCTTACTGTTGGTAGAAGCTTCATAGTAGTGCTGCTTTTTTACTTTGACTTTTTTCCTGGTGAATTACTACTTTTGGCAATATGCATTAGTTTGTGCTACTAGCAAATGTTGGTAAAAATAATTAGCATATAAAAATGAGAAATACCTTATTTGTATCAGGTGCAACTTAAATTGCCTGGATTATCCAAAGAAAAGACCGAGTACAAGTGGTGATATGCCATTAGAAACTTTGCTTGCCATTAACTTTATATACCTCCTTCCACTTCCAAATATTAAAATTCAAGCTAATAAAATCAGTATTAAATGTTTTATATTGTTCAGATTCTCTGGTGGTTTATTTTGGTTTTTTTATATAAGTTCTTTATAAAGAAAAATCTATTTTAAAAGCTTTTTGAGAACTCGTTTGTCTTCCATCTGGCATGAAGAACATTTCTAGAGGGGAGGGGAAAGAAACAGAGTACTGTCTGAGGTAAATTTGATAGTAGAAGATGGGATAAAACAAGAGGCACTTAGACTAATTTAATTAATGCCATGGTGAATTTAAGAATATGCTGTCCTCTACAAGCGTAAACATAGATCAGTAGCTGAATTAAGGAAGCAGTATTAGTCTGCACCTGTTGGGTTTCAAACTGAATTCAGACCTTGTTTCAGTATTGCAGTTGGGACTGGCAGTTGCTGAAGGGATTAAATTATTTAAAGCCTTCAGCTGGCTAGTGTAGGCTAGCAGTAGCTTATAAAACACTTAATCTATTTTTTTTAATCTCTTCATATGTTTGCTACTTAGAGACAGTAAAACTATACATGACACACACCTGCCACATTCTGAAGCTTCTTTGTCAGATATTTTAAATTTATCAGTTAGAGCAGCCTTTAAACGTAACCATTTGGGTTTCTTTGACAATACACTTCTTGTTAGCCTGTACGTTTTCTTTGATGAACTCAAACCCAAACATGAAGTATGCAGATAAAGTTCTTTTTCCACAATTTCTTTTAAAAAAGAGGTTCCCTTCGAAAGGCAAATGCTGCTCTCCAAATAATTAATATTTACTGTTACCATTTGGTTTGTGATTTAAAAAAGAAACATTCCAAACAGTTTGGAGCTCTGGAACTATTTTTACAGTGTATTAGCCAACTGCTTACACAGTAGTACAGTAAACCAGTTCAAAAATAGTTAATACTGTTTAGCTTGTTATGTGATATGTCACTTGTTTCTAGAAAGCTAAGAGTAAGTGGTGAGTAGTTACAATATGGATTGCACGGAAAAGCAATCTGGATAGCTGTGCAACACAGGATTAATTGGGTAAATCCTCTTAGGTTTGATTAGCCATTGCTTAGATCTACAGTTTATTTTGTCATTGGTTGCTCCTATTAATGTCGTCTTTCTTTCAAAGTTTATTACTCTGGTTTCAGTTTTGCATCATACCTTTTCTGTGTCCAAGTGCCACTGAATTAACTTACAACCTTCCAAATAATAAGCAGAGTAACACCTGGAGTCAATTCAAATCAATGTTGGCATTCTCTTAAGAGTCTTTTTAATAATAAACTTTTTATATGGATAATTTCTGTTTTTGTTCAGCAAATAATGTATTACATCTTTTTAATTTGGCCTTCAATGTTAAGTTACAGGACAAGTAGGCATATATATCTGCTAACAAGGATGAGTAAATGCTTATTCATGGAGATGAGATGGTTCCTGCAGTATGCTCTTCATAAAAAGCATATGTTGTTGATATTTCTGGCCAACCTTCTTTTTTTTCTTTTTAATTACATTGCGAAACTGTGATTTTATTTCTGTAAAATGAGTTTTTGTAGTACCATCAGTACAAAATAACTTAGTTGATCTACTCTAGATTTTTTTTTATAATGTACAGCGTAAAATTGAAAAATTTAAAGTACATATGTTGAAGGCGTTTCACTAATTAGTGTTCCTTATCTCACACTCTGTCTCAAACTTTTTTTTTAATTAGAGAATATGCCATTCTTCAGGAATAAGAAAGGAAAAAACAGAGGAGAAATAAAAATTCTTACCAGAAATAAAAATTCTTACCCGTTCAAGACACATAGAAACTAACCAACAGATACTTCAGGACTATAGCTAGATGGCTCGGCCAACTAGGGGGGGAAAAATATGCAAAAAGGCATGGGAGGAATTAGGCATTTCAGTGGGCGGTAATCAGAGTTTCATCAGTGCTGGGATTTCATACTGTTATACAATGCTTTGTACATGTCAGGGCAAGGCTTCATATTTGATATGATACATGTAGCACAAAATCTGGAAGAACAGTGTCTCTGTTTTCACTACTCCTTCTGCAGTGCAATTTGTTAGTTAGAATTTATTGCAAATATTTGTTCAATAGTCATCTAAGTATTGTTTCTTCTATAAGAAGGTATTACATCTGAAATTCTATTTCACCTTGAATGACCTAGGAAACTTATCATTTTCATCTATGATTCATCTAATATGATCTATAAAAGTGAATTGGGTTAGCCGCTGTCATGTCCCGAGACCAAACCAAAATGAAACTTAATTATAATAGAAATTTAACTCTGAGAATACAATGTCCTTTAATAGAAAATCAATTGAATATTGTAGTTGTTTCTAAAACCTGCAGGAAAAGACAAACCAGAATGCTAGTTGGAAGGGAAAAGTGGGGAATGCAGATGATTAAATGGTACCTTTACAGCCTTCCCATTCCTAAAGCTAAAGCAGGAGCTGGGTTAGTGTCTGTGAAAGATGAGAACTATTCCAGTTTGCTTCTGTCTGATC